AAGCTTGAAGCAAGCACTGGCTGCTGTGATCGCTTCGACTCGTCAATGACCTCCGCAATTCTCTAATGCTTCCATCTTTGCCCCAGCGCTTTCCGGATGGATGCACGATGGCGTTGATCGGTTTGAGGTCGACGAGCCCCTGAGATCAAGCCGGATGGACTGCGGTGGCTTGGCTGCAGCGATAGCACCGAGCAGCGTACGCTAGTGAGGTTGAAGCGGCAAGTCGAAACGGTCGCGCTCGGATGGAGAGTGTATAGATGCAGTAGAAAGGCAACGAAGGCACAAGGGCGCCGCGCAATGTTTCAGTAGGAAGGCAGAGGACTTTCAGCAGCGTGCCGATAGGGCGATCTGAAACTCTGCTCAATGACCTTCCTGGGCATCTTTGGGCATCTTGACATGCAAGGAGCGTCCATGACCTCCTTCGGCAGAGTCAGGGCCGCTCACCCGCGTCAAAAGAGCTGACAGCAAGCTCTTGCTGAATGACGCACGTTGGATGCAATCCAGATTGGCGGACCAAAAGCAGAGGCATCCTCGATTCGGATCGCTGCCGCAGAGCAGACTTGGTTCTGATGCGAGCCGTCGTTGGTGATGGGGAAGGATGGTGAGCTGGCCTGCCTCGTGCATTTGCCAGAGAGCATGTCGAGATGGTGGGTCGAAGGTGAAAGTGCAGCATGCGCGGTGGAGATTTGATCCGTGCATCATGCGCTTGTCAAGCCCCAGCAAGCGGTGCAGCCCGCGTCGATTCGAGAATGTTCCAATGGCGGGTTTGAAAGGAAGTCCGCGCGAATTGTTGGCTTCTCAAGTTGCGGCAGAACCCTGACGGCCCATCATACTCGTTTGCATCTTCCTCGAGAAGGCAAACCTGCTGCAGTGTAGGCTTGAGCTGATGTTCCGTCGGAGATTACGGTGGGGGAGGGAAGATGCACGTGCTCCAGCGACGAGCGCTCAGCAACGATCGGCTAGGCCCGCCGCCGGCCATGCAGCATGTACCTGCAAAGGTTCACGGGATTCACACGCCAGCAGGGTGAGCAAGCCGCATGGCTCGGCGCTCTTGTTCTGCTGCAGGCTCACTGCAAGGCAATCGGCGCCAGCAAGGGAGCTCCGACTTGTACCAGCAGCAAATGCAGAGGGCAGGTTCGAGTTTTGGACGTAGGCGCTGTGGCCCGAGGGCAGCTTCGAAATTTGGATGTGGGCACTGCGGCCCGAGGAGGTCAGGTTTG